ATTGACCTTTCCTTTTTGTGTGTGTGTGTGACCATCTCTCTCTCCAGGTAATATGGACAATTATTTTACTGCCATCATGCTAAAAAAATCGAGAGTAAAAGTTTTAAAACATGAAATAACAGCTTTTCCTACAACCAGTATGCTGAGAAATTTATTAGCAGTATATGTAAGTGAGTTTTCAGGCTTATGGACAAAATTGTTTGGCAGCCTAAAGTTAACTTCGAAAAGCAAGTTAATGGGACATTAGTGGAGAAAGAACTGGGTGTTCTCACTATTACCTTTAAACTGATTAACGTTGTTTTCACAAGTTAGTTTTGTATATTAATTAGCTCTTTGTATATAAAACATCATTATAAATACATTTGGAGAAAATGGGAACATATAACTTTTTTGTAAATAATATTCATTGTTACAAGGGTGATTTAAAAGCTAAGTTTTTCAGTCTTGGCATACAATTAAGTTTAAAATAGGTTAGCTATATTATAGTTTAGCATTAGATGTGAACCAGATAACTATATCTGTTTTTTGTTTTTCATTTTCTCTTGTATTTGAAATAGCCTAAAAAATAAATATCCCATTAACATCCTGAATACTTTAAAAAACAATTGAGTGTGGATTGAAATGTAGTCCAACTGATTTATTAACTGGAGTGTCATTCAGTACATTAGTCCACCAATTCAGGGGCTCTAAAACTGTGAGCTGTGACCTCCTCGGGGGTCATAAGGAAATTTGAGGGGGTTGTGCTCATTAATGCTCTGCCTGGGCATGGTTGATGAGCTGCTGGCAGTGAATGAGCAATGTACAGGATCCAGGCAGAAGGACTTGCCTTTGCCAATCTCCTGCCACAGCCTAATTCCAAGTGTTTCCCAAGGTGACCCAGCCAAGATCGAGGCACTCTTGCCTATTCTCAGATTCCAGCTCTATGCAGGGAAGTTAACCCCTCTAAGCAGAATTGGGAAGTGGCTGGGAGCACCAGCATGTCTATGCCAGTGAGTTCCTGAGGGGCTGGGAAGTGGAAGGAGCTAGAATGAGCACTGCACTGATGGATCTCTGGGCATGATGTTTCCCCACCTAAAGAAAAAAAGCAATTGGAAAATCTTCAGATCAGTGTTGCCTGGTTGGGGGTTGCATTTGGAATAGACAGGCCGCTTGCTTGCTTATGAAGATGCCTGAGCAGGGAATATGGAAGGCAATGCTTAGAAAGAAGGAAGACTTCTTCCCCAGTTGTTGGCAAGCATTCTAAGAAGGAATCTAGTCCCTTAAATTTCAAGTCAGGGCTAAGAAAAAAGTATATTGTTCCAGCCCAAGAGGGAGCATGTTACAGAAGAGTTACCATGTGCTGACATGTGCCCTTGGAGCTTGTGGGCAGAGCTTACTTCCAACAGAGCAGATATGCCAAGGATTCCAAGGCCAGCCTTCCCTGGAAGCAGGAAAGCAGATGCCCACGAGAGAGTGTGGCTGGGGTGTTGTGTGGTGAAAGAAGGCAAACAGGAGCCTTGGACAGATCATCTTGGACAGCACTCAAACATGGGTTGAGCTGTTGCTGGGAGCAAAGAGGCTATTGAAGGAGAGTCCTAATCCAGGGCAGCTGTCTGCAGCTGGCTTGTCCAGGAAAAATGGGAGTCCTAGTAGAACATGGTCTGGTAGTGTTATTCAGGGGGAGGGGGTGGCAACAAATTCATTTATTGTAGGGGATTGCTGACAACCCTGAAGTAATTAACGCTTGCATTCCTATTTAGTTTCAATTTAAATATTAGCTTAGGTGCATCCAGAAGATTTACGGGCTTAAAAAAAGCTTCACCTTTGTGATGCTCCAAAATAGATAGAGGGCAGAATGGGAGAACTGAGTAATGTAAAGAAAGGTGAAATCCAAGTTCATTTTTCATGCTTTGCATCTTGTTCTTTTTTAACAGGTAACCATTTCTGGTAATGACCTGTGCCTTATGACTTCCCACTTGGAGAGTACTAAGGATCACAGTGAAGAACGTTTAAAACAGTTGAGACTGGTGCTTGCCAAAATGGCAGAAGTACCCGAGTCTAGCACTGTGATTTTTGGAGGTGATACTAACTTAAGAGACAAAGAGGTAAGCTAGGACAAATGTTTTTCTTTTCCCAAAAATCCTTCTTTGCATCTTCTTTCCTGGTCTCTGTAGTCAAAGTGCTTTCCCTATATATTACATGTTATTTTTCTCCCCAATGAATTATTTGTGATATTCTTTTATTGAGCAAGAAAACGAGGTAAGAGTAGATAAATGTTGGTTGTTGCAGATCTATTTGTTCCCAGTTGTGTATTCCAAAATTACTGTTACTAAGGTGATATGTGACTTCCTTTTCTCCCCCTCTCAGTCTGCTCGATCACTGTTTGTTCTCTGGTAAGATGGCTGGATCAGTCATTTTTTGATAGTGAAAAGAATTGACATAATTTTCCTTAATGCAATCCTGGCTTGCTTTGCTAGTTTGGCTTAAGGTCAGTTAACAGTCCCCAGTGCAGATATAAGAACCAGTCCATACTTAATTAAAGGCAGGATTTTTGCCTTCAAATTGATGCACAATCGCCAGGGAGAAATATTGGAGCTCCAAGGAAGTCTAGAAAGATCATTTGGATCAGTCCATTGACTTCAGAGATAGCAAGAGTGTGAATTACTTTAGAAGACACAAGTGTTTTGTTTTTCTGTAGTTTCATACGGGTGTTAGACAATTTTATAGTCCTCTGACATATCAGAAGCTTTCTAATCCTGATGACAACGTAATTAATATTTGAAAGAAAAATGATAATTACTATGTTTTACTATTCTGTTATTGCTTTCTGCTCTTATCTTTATCAGGTTGCTAAAATAGGTGGCTTACCTAACAATATTTTGGATATTTGGGAGTTCTTGGGCAAGCCTGAGCATTGCCACTACACATGGGATACAAGCCAAAACACTAACTTGAATGTACGCTACAAGTGCAAAACTCGGTTTGATCGTCTGTTTATGCGAGGTGCAACAACTGGTGGACAGATTATTCCTCAGAGTTTGGATTTAATTGGTCTGGAAAAACTAGATTGTGGCAGATTTCCTAGTGATCATTGGGGACTGCTTTGCAATTTTGATGTGGTATTATAAGAAAACATTTAACTTTCCTAACTTCTTTTAAGGCCTTCAAAATTTTAAACGAGTTCTAATGTTAGTTTTGATTCACAATCCTATAAACTAATCAACTAATTTTAATTGTGTGGTGAATTCTTGCTTAGCAAAGGTGAAACATTCCATTAAAACATTACACAGCGCAGAATACTTTTAAGTTAATTCCTGTGGAAGAGAGAGATTATTTTATGCTGTATATATTATTCAAAAGTTAGAACAAATTTTATCAAACATATCAAAATTTGTTCCTAATAAAGAATCCTTGTGAGTCTACTTTAATGGCCCTGTGTTCTGGTAGCTGAAATGGGGAGATTACAAATTCAGGAGGGAAAAGACTATAATCTCAGGACTATTAATGCATTGCTGGAATATCCTCTAATTCCTAGTCCTCCCAAAGGATCAAGGGTTGCTGTCAGTGAATCCCACCCAGGCCTGTTCTCCCTTGGCTATTTCTTTGAGTGCCCAACCCCTAACTTCTCATGCTATACTGCTGCTTATTTGCTCACTGAGCTTTCTAACAAAGGAAAATCGAGAGCCAAGGAAGCATCATGCCACACTGTTCTTCCGGGAGGTGGTAGGAACTGGGGCCAAAAAGAGAGACAACAGATTGGTTCATGGCAAAAAAGGTAGTAGGGATTCTCAAGGAGAGAGACCTAATGAGAGCAAGGGCTGTGTTGCAAAAGAACATGGCCATTCTACCTGTATTCTTATTTACAAACCAAGGTTTTGATCAGTGGAACTCATTGCTTCACTGTTTCAAAATGTTTTCAGTTCTCTGGTTAGCTGATGTTGCCTTTAACTGCTGCTGCTAATATAAGATGTTCTGCTATTACAGAAGCTTAGTACCTTATTTCCTAGCCTAACCACTAGATGAACTAGATGGATATGAAAGGAATGCATATTGCAGTTGGAAATAATGAGGTTGTTTAAATATAATTGGCACACAGTTTCTATTATGAAAGAGGGTCTTCTCCAGCAAAGTGATTTCTCAATAGCCTTTCCTTTACATTGTGAAAAAAAAAAAATTCTCTGGCACAAATAGCAAGAGTGCTGCAGTCCTGTTATTCAATTATTCCCCTGCTGGCTGGGGAATTCTGGGAGTTGAAGTCCACCCATGTTAAAGTTGCTGAGGTTGAGAAACAGTGGTCTGTTAGAGGGTGAAGAATACTAGTATATCCAAACCATTATAATATTTTTGGATGTCCATATTCTTGTGAACTATACTTTGTGGAAATCGCTAGCTGGACAATGGAAATGATTTCCCCTGGCCTTTCTGATTGCTAAGAGACTAATCCTTCAACACTGGAAAGATAAACTTACGGCCATAATTAGTAAGTTGATTGAAGACCTGATGTTACTTGCGATTTCCGAATGTGTTGCTTACAGGTGTTTCGTATGGATGGATGATTACAATAAATTATGGCTGTTCTGTATTGAAACTGCTGTGTAAAACTGTGCGTGTGCACATAAAATACACATGTATGAGAGGTCTATAATTTTGTTACTGTATTGCTTTTTTCTGCTTCCGCCCTGTATTAAATAAAGCAACAGCAATAAGATTTAAAACGAAGGTGCTGTATAGCGGTTTGCTGTTCCTTTCAGTACAGCAAAATCAGCCGAATGTTTACTATGTTCGTCCTTTCGGCCTCCTGCACAGAAATTTTAAGATACGCTCACCTGCGTAGTGTCCACAGAAGCCGATTATTACTAGCACGCTCGAGGACTTGCCCGCGTGACTTCTGGGTTCCCTCCCGTTCCGCGCCCCCATAAGAGAACTGAGGGGGGCGCAAACGTTGCCCCCGGTGGCGGGGGTGGGATTCGGCGCCGGAGGGGGGCAGCTCAGGCCAGGCAAACGCGGGTTAATTGGTCTGAAAGCGTGGCAATAAGGGCGCCTTCCCCACACACGCGCGCACGCCCAGAGCCTCGCTTCCACCCTCCCGACAGGCATCAAGATTTCTCGACACCGAGCATCCTTCGCTAGGTTGGCGCCCGGGCGTCCACACCCACTTTTTTTCTGGACCGCGGATTGAACGGCTTCGCCATCCAAGTCCTATGGAAGAAAAGCCGATGGGGCGCGGATGGAGGCGGCTGGGTCCCGCGGATGTCGCCGTCGCTGCCTGATTTCCGCCGGCGATCGCCAGGTAAGAAGAAGCGGAACTGCCCCCTCCCTGTCTCGGGGGCGCTGCTGGGCGGCGAGACTGCGGTGGGTGCAGCAGGCGCGAGCCCAGAGAAGGCAGCTGGCTGGGTTTGCCCTGATCGCGCTGGGTGCATTGCCGGGGTGCTTCTGGGTAAGATCCGAAGCTGCTTTATCCCCAGCCGGATAGTTTCCCAAATAGATGGTTTGCAGGCAAGAAATGCGACAAGCCTCTCCAATTCCAGGTAGCGCCTCGCTCTCCTCCTGCAGTCGGCAGACAAAGCCTTTATTCATCTCATCTCATCTCAACTGAGGAGCTCATGATGCTGCTCTGAATCCCCCACTTTCTCACCCAGATCGATATTCCCTAAAAACATGGCAGATCGTGTTTCTCTTGTAGCGGCAACAAGGGGGAGAAATGCATACAGAGCTGCCTGTCTGTCGCTTCTAGACCGCTGTGGGAAACCCACTGCTCCCTCCCACCTGACTGAAGTTGAAGAAAAACAAATATATTTGTTGACTCGAGGGATGGGGACATTTAATTGATCTGGCTTTCGGAAATGATAGACATGGCTCTTGAGAAATGCATACAGAGCTGCCTGTCTGTCGCTTCTAGACCGCTGTGGGAAACCCACTAGCTCCCTCCCACCTGACTGAAGTTGAAGAAAAACAAATATATTTGTTGACTCGAGGGATGGGGACATTTAATTGATCTGGCTTTCGGAAATGATAGACATGGCTCTTGATAACAGTAGGTTGGCCAACAAAGACCTGGAGCAAAGGATTTGATTGCTTGCTTGCAGGAGATGGTTTATTATTTGATAAATTGAACACTTCACAATGTTTATGAGATGCATGGATGAGAAAGGATTAAGAATTCAGGGCTGGTGCTTCTCCCTTTAAAATTGATATGAAGAGTGTTAGACTGAAATACACCCAGATAGAGCATGCATATTTATTTTGGACACCTGCACGAAGTGTCAAAAACTGGCAACTCTTAAACTGCCAAGATCTAACAGTGCAATCCTATGTGTGGCAGGTGAAAAGTAGGTAGCACTGAGTTCAGTGGTGTTTACTCCCTGGGAACTGGAATAGAATAGTAGCTCACTTATTTTCATATGTAATGCTTAATAGCGTTCCTCCTCCTCTTTTTGCATCCAGGTTTTGAGATTTTAGTAGCAAAATTCATATTAGCTAAAATGTATTTTCAATTTCAAAGTAGTTCTGATGTGTGTTGACAAATGCAGCAGATAGACCACAGACCATTTTTGCACGATCATTTCTGGAAAACATTTTTGTGCTGCAGTTTATATAACTTGTGCAACAGCAAAAAAAAAAATATCACATTAGTATAATTTGCTTAAGGAGAGACAGTTGCAATCTTTGCTACATATTATGGATAGAATATTTTGATTTCAGTTCTGTTCCTTGCCTCAAAGAATGTTTGATCCAAACTAATATCTGTAGATAAAGGATGTGTTAAAACCTAATCAGGACTGTAACCCTGTGATGGAGTTGTTCCAGAGGAAACCTGGAGTTTCCCTATTCAAAGGGTTTCCCCATTTACTTCAATGGAAGTTTTCTATTCCCTCAGTAGTGAAAGGGTCAGTTCACGTGGCAAAAGTTCCATTCGTGTTGTCCAGAGTTATAGATTGGATGTTCTGTTTCTACTATTTTTAAATCTGTTAGGTTAGCTTTTGTACATACTATGCATTTATGTCTACTCATGACACAATGATACGTTCTTGTACATGTCTACTTGAATTCAGTGGGATTTATTCTCATTAGGCAAATGACTGAGCTGCAGAGACAGTATAACTCCAGCCAATGCATGATGAGCTGCTTAACTAATTGCATCGCCAATCTTTGTATAGTTTGGGTTCCACACTCTCCTTGAGGAAATATGAAGACTAAGAGCTATTTCATACAATCATTGTTAAGTATCAAAAATCTTTGCAAGTTGTCTTTGTGGAGACCAATTGAACAGTGTTGGTACTATAGTTCCTCAGTAATGAGTTTTGCAGATTATATATTTTGATGTGGATGGCGTCCAACTCTCTAGGTCAGGGGATAGCCACTCTACATCTCTGGATACCAAGGTGCCCACAGTGCCCTTGGAGGCTGCCCACAGATCCCCAAGAGAAAATAAAGAATCATTTAAAAACAATTTAAATAGTGGTAACCTTGTGGTGCAGTGGTCTCAAGAAATTTCTCACAGGTGAGGTCACTGTAATCCTGTGAGAGCTGGTAACCTCATGAGAGGCTTTCAGATGATTTTTTTTATTTTTGTCATCTGTGCCATCATGTCGTGATAGCTGTTCTCTGCAAGAGTTGCTAATCCTTTTTCAAACTGATGGTGTCATGCTGCTGTTCCTTAGTCTGCTGAAGTCGTACTTCCCACTCGTGGTCTTATTTTCTTCAGCTTTTAATCAGATGCATATATTATACACTTGTCTTTTGCCTTTGTTAAAGCGCTAACCATCTAGAGCCTTGTCCAGGTGATGATTATCTCAGACCTTGTTCTTATAGCAGTTGTCTGGTACACAGAATTACCATAAGAATATAGAAGCTGCACAGAATTTACCCCTTCCTAACATTTTTCTTTTGTTCATTCGAGTCAGTGTTGACTCCTGGCGATTGTCTGGACAAGTCCCTGCAGTTTTCTTGGCAAGGTTTTTGGGAAGTGGTTTGCCATGGCCTCCTTCCTAGGGCTGAAAGAGAGTGCCTGGCCCAAAGTCGCCCAGCTGGCTTCATCCCTAAGGCAGGACAAGAACTCACAGTCTCCCGGTTTCTAGATTGGTGCCTTAACCACCATATGAATATATATTCATATCTATAGTTAGGAAACAGGTTTGTATATTCATATCTTTTGTAGGAAACAGGTTTGTAGTCATCTAATGTGCACATTTTACTTTTTTTCAGCATTAGCCTTTTAATTAGTTAAACTCTATTTCAGACTAGAAATAGAAATATTGTAGGAGATTTATTTTTTTTACCTGTTTCAAGAGCTGTTGTCAACCTTGACTGTCCTTTTTAGATAAGGCATTGCATCATGAATAATGAGGTTGAACAGCCTTTTTCCTTTCAAGGACCACATTTCCTCATAGGTACTCTGATGGGTCTGATGGAAGCAGAGATCAGAGCAAGAATGAGTGGGATATCCAAACTCTTTCTCTTTCTGATACCATTTTCTCCTTATCCAAAGCCACACGTTGATAAAGATAGGACAAAGATTTCCTACAATACAGGTAGTCCTCGACTTACAACCACAATTGGGACCAGACCTTCTGTTGCTAAGTGATGCAGTCATTAAGTGAGTTGTGCCCAATTTTACCACCTTTTTTGCTGCAGTCATTAAGCAAATCATCATGGCCATTAAGTGAATCATCCAGTATTTAAGCAAATCTGGCTTACCCCAATGTCTTTGCTGTTGGAATCCCCCTGGGAAGGTCACAAATGGCGATCATGTGACCTGGGATGCTGCAACTGTCATAAATACATGTTGGTTGCCAAGCACCCGAATTTTGATCACATGATCATGGGGATGCTGCAATGGTTGTAATTGTGAAGACCAGTCATAAGTCACTTTTTTCAGTGCTGTTGTAACTTTTAATGGTCATTAAATGAATGGTTGTAAGTCAAGGACTATCTGTATATGCCTACATGTAATGAAGACTTTTGAAATTAGGTCTCATGTTGTCTACCCCTGATATAAAATTATTGAACTATGGAGAAGGGTAAGATGTTCCCTGCATCCTCCTGCATGGATTACCTTTAGAGAAAGGGGAAATGGCCTTGGGAAGAAGGATGTGGAGGTCTTGCAGACTAGAGATTTCCTATTCCAGTTTTAAATATTTAAATAAAAATAAATAGCAGCTCAATTTCTGGGGAATAGAATTCCTTTGCAATTTAATTAAGCCCTTTGAATTTGTTCCATTATTTTCTTGGCTGGAAGCATATGTAATGCATATTGCTCAACCCTGCTGTTATTTACAATAGATGAGGAGCAAATGTGTCAAGCTAATTTATATTTTAAACACCATCTCCATCCTGACCTTCTTATTATATGTACCCTTTCTTCTTTGAAGAAAGATGGGATATATAGCTTCTTAGGGAGTCTCCTAGATACTATGTAGACCAAGCATCTTCACAATAACGGAAGTTAATGGATTCTTATCTTCACATCATGCCTTGGGGTAGAGCAAGAGGGTGTATCCTGGCCAGCCAAAGCAATTCTTATTTCTTGGAGTGGAATGATCTATCTATCTATCTATCTATCTATCTATCTATCTATCTATCTATCTATCTATCTATCCATCCATCCATCCATCCATCCATCCATCCATCCA